ACTGTTCATCATATAAATCAATACATAAAATATAGACTGGTATACATGGCACTTTTATTCATTTAAATCAATTCTTTCACTGTCTTTTATACAAAACCAAATAAAATATTTTACAGTATATTTACAAAAAGAAAAGCTATATTTAATAAGAGACATGTGAATTATTTTTAAAATATTTAGATTTTTCTGATTTTATGTTATTAAACAGAAATAAATTTTATTTAACATATAAATATTTTTGAATAGATGTTTATATCAGCTCAGTGTTAGAAGAGTTATGCATAAGTGCAGGAGCTACTTTGTTAGAAGAGTTTTCTTCTGGCACTAAAATTCCTTCACCAAATAATTTGCATCTGTTTATCAGCTGAGCTTCATGTATGTAGATTAATCATAATTTATTAATAATTTTATATTAATTTATGTGTTCAGTGACATAGCAGCTGATGTAATGTTATGCGTTTGTTTAATATTAATTCTGTTTTTACTGCTTTGGCCTTTATAAAACTCAGGTAGGAAAACATATACATATATTTCAGAAGAAATATGCAATTTTAGTTTCAGAAGTATTTTGAAAACTGAGTTATTTTATATAAATTTTATTCCTTTATCTTCTTTTTTATAACTTTCAGATACTGAATCTTCTTCAGCTGCAACTAAATATAAGGCAAGTACCAACAGGCAGAGAGAGATCAACCAAGCTGATTTACTTGTAGATTGGTGGAAAATATGAGTTAGAATTAAATTATTTACTAATGTAGAGAGCTTTTTGCCTAATTTTAAGTAATACAGAGAGATTTTTGTAGCTACAAAAGACCTAAAGGAAATTTAAGTCACCAAACTGAACTGATGGTGTGCAGTGCTGTGTTACATCAGTGCTGTGTAATAAATGATTTATTGGTTTCTTTCAGATATGAGCTTTGTATTTTTTAATGAGAATTTTTAAAGTGCAGTTTAGTTTGATCAAAGCATTTTGAATAGATTTAACATAAGAACTACAAGGAAAATTTATTACTTATCAAACTGAAACACCTTTTTTGAAACTACATGTGAAATTGGGAGGGGAGGATAAATTAAACAGTTTAGCATTTATGCATTTTTATTTTTATACTAGTTTATAAATTTGTTAATATAAATCAGAATTTTGGTCTAATAATATGAAAAAAAAACAGAAAATAATTTTTGAAGTTTTGTTACTAGACACCAAGGTCATGATTCTTCTTTAACTGTATTAAATTTAGATAACTCACAAAAGCTTTCCCATTATATTTTGACTCTAAAAAGTGTAAAGATTGCCTAACACCAGCAAAAAAATCAGTTTTAGTACTGAACAGCAGGAAGCCTTGTTCACATTTTGATGTTAAAGGTATTGTGAAATATTGTGTCAAAGAAAAGAAGAAATATCAAATAATAAAACTTAAAATATATATAAGAAATTTTGGTTATCTTTTATTTCATTTAAAAATTTTAGCCATTCATATTAAAATAGTTATTATGATTATTTTTTCTATAAATGGGTTGTATCCAAGTTAGTTACAATAAATGATGAACCGGAAGTATTGATATTTGCTGTAATTTGCTTTTACACAACATTAAATTTAGAAAGCTACAAAAAGAGGCTTAAAAGTGGCAAAATCTATAATGCCTATTCAAGAAACATAGTGGCTTTTAATTAGTTAAGCTTTATAGCATAATTGCACATTAACTTATCAGTTATTCTTTAAAGTACCAAACAAAGAAAAAAATATAGTTGGGCTTTTATTGTACTTTTAAATAAATAAATAAATAATAATAATAAACAAGAAATAAACAATAACAAAATTATGTTTGACTTGTATATAATCATATATAAAGATCCTTAATGAATAAGTATACATGCAGAAATTTTAAATTAATCCTACAAGCTTTAAAACAGTCCAACATACACCAACATATTACACTTGTATAAAAAAAAATATGTCTAGAAATGCTAAAATTAAAGGAATAAAGGTAAGTAGCAGTCTGTCCTGACCTATTCATTATGCTGAAAAAATTTTAATCATAGTATCTTGTGCTAAAACTGCATGAACCAGTAATCAGTTGCAAGAACTCATGCAGCATTTCCAGTGATACCTCCTTCAAAAATATCTCATTAGTCTCATTTTTTAATTCCAATGAAAAAGAATATGGCTCAATCCATTAATTTCCAGCTATGCCTAACCAAACACTGATTATGAATTATTATATAACAAGAGGGAGAGTGGTTGGTGGATTTTCATGTGCCCACACCTATATATTGTACATACCATATACATCCTTAAGACACTATACTGGGAAATCTGGCTCTGCAATACACTCATGCAAAATCAAACACGTGAATGCCACACACTGGCTAAAAATCTCGCCTTCAGTGATTGAGCACATTACATATGAAAGGTGTAAGCACTCTTCAGGTAACAGTCACCAACTGCTGAAATGACAGACAAATAATTTCAGACAAAGTATCTCCAGTACTTATGCATAGCTTTCTTAATTTAGCATCATACACGTGCTTTATTCACAACTGCAATACGCATATTTTCTTAAAATGATCCACTTTCATGAAATCTGTGATGCCAGATTATATCCTCAACATGTGTCTATTAAGAAACTATTCATCATAAAATTATTCTGAAACTCAGCTATTTTCATCCATTAGCATATAGGCAAGATGCATAGCAGCATCTTCACATTAATGTAGAGATAATCCTATTAATGCCAGGTCAATGACTAAAGAGTAATTTGATGGCTGATGCTGCCAAAGAGAGCATTCCAGTATATTTGAATAACATTTCTGGGTATAATGTTCCCACACAAATATGTTTTCTTGATGTGTAGTGATAGCGATAAGAAGCACGTCTTGCGTCCACATTGCTGCTGATATATAGGCAGCCTCAAGGAGAGATTTTAGGAGAAGTGCAGAGAAAAAACAGAGAACGGCTGTTGGTAAGTACACATATTTGTTCCTGAATTAAAAATTAATTTTTATTGTGTATTATGTCTGGTGTGAGAACATTCAATGTGATATGGATAACAAGCATTGCGTGGATACCATAATGGTTTCTACAGATGTATGCTAAACAAATCTCGTTCTTGCATTCAGGAATCATCCTCACCGTTAAATTGGAACGGGAATGCTGAACAAGCCTTTACTGCTGCCAGAAATGGCATTACTCAACCTACCCTTTTGAGGCACTCTATTTCCAGAGCCCAGTTAAGCACTTGTGTAAATACTTCAGATGCCGCAATAGGTGGCACTCTTATTCAGTTGTATCAAGAAACATGGGAATCTATAGCATTTTTCTCAATCAAACTCAACAAAGTCAAGAGAAATGGTTTGCATATGATAATTTTAAATTTATTCAGTGATTAAAAAATTCTGCCACATGTTAGAGGGAAGAAATTTTCAAATTATTTGAATCAAAAACCATTAACATATGCTTTTAAGCAGAATTCCCACAAATGTTCACCACAGCAATTACGCCATTCAGATTTTATTTATTAGTATTCTACTGATATTAAGCATGTGCAAGATTCCAAAAACATTGTTGTTCATGTTCTCTCAAGAATCAAAATTGGTTCCATAGTAAAATTTCCATTTCTTGATTTTAAAAAAAATTCTGAAGCTCAACAGCATGTTTCAGAGGTACAAAACCTTCTAAAAAATACATCATCTTTTAAGCTGGAATTCAAGTCGTGCCAATACTCTGATGGTAACATTCTTTGTGACATTTATAGAAATATTTCTCGTCCATTTCTTCTTAATTCCTTTCGCAGACTCATCTTTAATCATCTGCATAATCACATCCAGGAATTGCAGCTATAACAAAACTCAACTGTTCTCGTTATGTATGGCCCAGTATGAAATGTCATATCAAATATTGGGAGAAATGCTGTGAATCTTGCCATAGATTGAAAATAACCAGTCATATTAAAGCACCACTGGATACATTCTCTCTTCCTGATGCATATTCTTCAGAAATCCCCATGGATATTGTTGGCCTGTTACCGTTAGCAGATGGCAACATTTACCTTTTGACTCTATTAGATAGATTTTCCAAATGGCCTGAACCCATACCTATCCTCAATATGAAAACAAAAACTATTTGCAGAACTTTTTTCAACTCGTGGATTTGCTTTGGCTGCACATCTGTAATAACAATAGACCAAGTTTGTCAAATAAGATTCACAATGTTTGCAGAGTTTACACACATTGCTGTGCCAGCAGAGAAACTGCTGCACCAGCCATACTCATGTCAGCACAAAGTCCTTACCAGAACAGACAAAATTTTCATAATTGAAATAAACAGCCTGTATAAAACAGACTACAGACTGTATAAAACAGCCTATTTGCTTTCGGACTCTAATTTGCTGAACTGAACCCAAACAAAGACTTAAAGTCTGTTCAACAAAATAAATCTGCTTCTGAACTCTCCAAGACAAACTGTCACAAGATCAAGAAGACATATTTACTTCCCAAAGAAACTTAATTTGCTTTGCCACATATTTATTAATATTTTAATTTTTATATATGTGAATTATAACTTTGTCATATGCTGTATCGCATTTTGATCTCATCTAGTTTTGTATCCTAATTTTGTTATAAAAAAAAAAAAAAAAACTCGACAGCACTGATCTTCTGAAATATTTCATAATCTGATGCTCCTTTAAGTTGCCATCAAAGGAATTGGGAGAAAACTCTGTGGTGATAGCGAAAAGGAGCGTGCCTTGCTGCCAATATATATGGCAACCCTAAGGAGAAGTTTTTGGGGAAGCAGAGAAAAAATACAGAGACCGGCTGTCGAGTAGTAGCATGCACACATGGAAAACGAGGATCACGTGGATACCACGTGGATGGTTTCTACAGATGTATGCTGAAAATATTTTAAAATTTTATACAAGGAATTTTGTATCACATTGTATATACGTTGTATGGATATAAAAGCAGCTTTTAAATAGATACAGTAATAAAATGTTATACATACCATTTCGTCAATTATTAAAATTGCATCTAAAATGGAAGCACTATGCAGAATATTCTTATTTATTTGGTCCATCTAAAATATGTATATTCATGGTTAGGAATATTCTAAAAATTGTATTCCAGAAATACAATTTAATCTTAATGATTAATTTTATATAAAACTTGTACTATTATGGTTTTATGCTATGTATTGTTTCTCCTTTTGTTCACACACATGCAATTTTTTTTTTTATTTGTAAAAACAAAAAATGTTCACTAATAGCATTTAACTATATTAAAATTTAAATCTGAAGAGGATTAAAACAAATAATAAAGAAATCGTCATTTATTCAAGTTAGTTAAAATAACACAAATACATGGTCCATTCATATTGCTTACATTTAAGTAAATAAGAGTTTTTAAAATATCTCATTTAATAAAAAACACCACAAAAAAATCTGAAATGTTTCAGATTTTAAATAACGCCCAAAGGGGCGGTTTTTTAACGTTTTGTGTGTTACCTTTATTTATTAAATATCATGTTCTTTGTACTTAAACCATAAAATTTAGTTCAATAGCAATGTCGCAAAATAATTTTAAAATGAGCATATTTTAGAATTTCCATACACAGTTTGACGCGCTGGAGATAAAAAGGTTTATTTTCCCCCGTAGAGTGTTGCTATTGCTCGCTTTTACATTGTTGAGTTTGTTACTCAAAAATTCGTTAAAGTTTTACAAAATATGAAATCGATAATAAAACAAATCCCAAATTTCAAATTTGGGATTTCAGATGCCCATATTCACAGCAGGATTACATCATTCAAAATTGGATGGCTCTAGATACCGTTGTTTTATCACAATGCGAGAAATATACATACATTTATGCAGATTTTTCATTATTTAATTTCTTCAAATAGAATGCAGGACTCTAACATGTTGTGGCAACAGTTTGAAATGAGAACCGGCATTTATAGGAGTCCGATGCAAAATGCCAAAACAAAAGAAATAGTCCTTCGGGACTCAAATCTCTTTGGACTAAAAATTATATTTCATTACTACACCTAATCTATTATTATAGTGGTTACAAAATTGCTAATGCAGTGCTCCCTTTAAAGCAACATCAAAATTAACTCAACAGTTTTTAAAGTATATACGATTATTTTAAATATACAATAATCAATAGCATGAGAAATCAGTTAGTGAATTTTATTTAGAGTTTTACATAATAAACACAAAATTTTTAGGTATGTTTTATGTGTAAGTGAAGAATTCAGCAAATATAATAATTTATATGCTTTCATTTATTCGAATTATGATATTCTGCACAATGTAAGCTAAATTATCTGTCATTCTTTTAATCACTGGTTTCTGTTATCTACTAGTCACTGAGACAGCAAGATAAAAACATGCTAAATAAATGGGGAAATTAAAATTCAAGAAAGGAATAATTTATATATAAAAACTACAGTTTCCAAAAAGAGAAATCCTTAAAGGGATGATTAAATTAAAAAAGCATAAATATTTAACTTAATAAGTTTTGATAGAAAAATAAAATTATTTACTCTTAATTTTCAAGACAAAAGAACAGATCTCATTATGAATTTACAAAACACTGGAATTCTCCAAATAATGATGCTGTTATTGATCACAAAGTTTCATTGTTTTTTTATATGCACTACTATTTCAAATTGAATCAATAAGCATACAGTGTAGTTTATACATACCAATTTATATACAGTACAGTGGCAACAGATAATAAGGATATTTTAGCAGGAATTTAAGTGCAAATGTCCCAGCAACAGACCTTATAACCCAATTTCCTTTCTTTGATTTTTATCTCCATTGCATAGTATTTTTAATCAAAAAAAGTTCACATATTTACAGTTATTATCTGGGTGAATTGTTTACTTTTTATAGGTTAAGGATCATACCCTCTCATTCACTGAGATCAAAATTTTCCTTTCCACTCCAATGATATCAGAAGTATTCAATTTGACAATTATTGCAATTTTCTAATTTCTCACAATGATAGTAACAGTAGTTATCTGACTTACTTCTTCTAGGACAGCAACTGCACTCAAATTCTGGCTTAGCTAAGTTCAAAATTACTTTCAGACACTTTTTTTTTTTTTTTTCAAGTTAAAGCCTTTTAAAATTCCACATCAGGCAACATCTATTATGTTCTTCCTTATTTTCTTGAATTATCATTTCATATCAACAACAGGTAGATTTATTCTATCAAATTAAGTACATTACAGTTAAGATCCTCTATAGAGGGAAATGCCGCCCAATAGTGGTTAGCACTGCTGACTGTCATGCCGAAAGGCCCGGGCTCGAATCTCGGAGAAGGCATGGATATTTGTAAATGCATAGTGTCCACGTGGCATGGGGGCATTCTAAATATGTGGTGAGCCAAAAGTCCTATTGAGAGGTTGATGGTAGGGGAAGAGGGGTGGGAGACACCCGTCTCTCCGGGTGCTTTTCATCAAAATTGGGGGCAGAACTACGCTAAATTGCACTGTCACCTGTAAGGTGCTGATGTCTGTTCCCAATGACAGGCATATCTTGGGCTTCTTGTCATAAGGAATTTCGTGGGCTTGAACAATATAGGTCAGCATTAGTCAACAACAAACAACTGATTTGGCATAACTGTATCACTTGAAAAGTGGTATTAAATCAATGTCCTTATATAATTTTTCGCTAAGCCTTGTTTTAACTGTATCTTTTGTAATTGGATTTGTAATTGGAAGTACATAATCGTTCTCACCTATAATGGGGTCTCTTCATGAGCTGAGTAACTGAAGTACACGCAGCTTCTATGGCCATTTTAGTTGCAGAACCTACATTAGATGATGGTGCTGGTGGATTTTCTAGTACAGAGTATAACAGGTTATATGCGGCAAATATATGTTGTATATATGCCCTCTTGTCTAAGTGCAGGTCAAAATTATAGAAATGGTTAAAATAATATGAAGATAATAATTTCACAATGTAATGATATGATAAAAACAGTGCTATGATAAAAACACGAAATAAAACAAAATTAAAACCATCTAAAATAATAAACTGATGAATATTACATTGTGCTGTGATGAGAAGATGCATAAAATGCACAGGAAGACTACAAATATAAAACTAAGTGAAATCTTAATACATATAAATATTTGAAATCAATTCAGATTAAAGAACAGAAACCAGTCTTCCTTAAATACTGAAACAAATTAACATTTTTACAAATTTTGTACATAGATAGATGATTTTAGCATAATTATATGTGAAATAGTTGCTATTTTTTGGTATAATTTTAACATGAAAATCTACAGAAACAAAGCTTGCAGAAAAGTAAGAATACACGGACAAGTCTATTTAACATTGAGTAAATGGCTCTCTCATTAAATTGGCGAGATATCGACAAATTGGCAGCAGTTTTGTCAACTAATTTTTGTGGCCAAATTTGGCGAGAAATCGCTAAACTTGGCGATATTTTGATTCAGTCCCTGTAATACTGTAATGACTATTGTAATTGTATACTGTAATTGATCCTCTACGTAGCTGTAACCGTAATTCGGTCCTCATATGCCTTCCAGTATTTTTTAGAAGCAAAATGTACTTTGCATTGCATTGTGTTTAGTGTTCTTAGTAGTTTGAAGTGTAACTACAGCTTGTACTCTGTGATACTGTGAAGAGTTGTACCACTATTTTTGTAGAACGTTCCAGAACTCTGAAGTGTTACTGTTGATAAAATAATTTTTATCAATCCATAATCAGATCTGGGTGCATTCAATCTATTACGAGCCCATATGCATGCAACAACATCTTTTCCAATTAAACGATCAAGACTTACATCAGAGCCATTAAAATATTTAACATGACGTCTGTTGAAATAAGGACATTTTAACAAAATGTGTCGCACCAACAGCACAGCATTACATTTGGAACATACAGGTTCACTCTCAGTTTTTAACAAGTAATTGTACCTTAGTTAAGAGTAACCAGTTCGTAGAGTTAAAAGAAATTCCTCCTTCCAATTTTTGTTCACCACCTAATATTCCACTCTAGTTTTACACATCTCAGTGTATTACTTATTTGCATGTACCACAGTAATTCCTACTTTTCCAGATTTTTAACTTGAATAACCATTTTAATGTCCTCAAGGGAGCAAGACAACTAAACAATACAACAATGCACTTTGCTGTGATGTCTCAGCTCATTGTCTTTTATTCCAATGTGTCTAAGAACTCAGCAGTAAAGAATCTGGAAACTGCAGCTCCTTAAGTTTAGATGTAGTTGTAGAACTTCTCTAATTACAGGATTCTAGTTTTTCGAAATTTTTTTTAAAGCTTTTAGTGCATTAAATGAGTCATTATCGATCGTAAACTTTTTCTGGCATAGCTTAGATATAAAGCTAACAGCATGATATATTGCAATTACTTCAGTAGTACATGTGGAGTCATGCAGTTGTCAGGTCTGGTTTAAAATCCCAAATGATGCACCTACATGACCAACTGTTCTTGAATTTCCTGTATATATATCAGAATGTAACTGCTGTATTCATGCCTGTGCTGCAGGAAAGTTATCTGCATACTATTTCATTAGTGTTTTTCTTACCAAGATGGTAGAGAACATCTCAAAGCTGAATTTCTGGATTATCTCAAGGCAGGATATTAAGATGCTTTACTGCCTGGCCTTCATGTTAGACATGAGGTATTTTTCTATCAGTGGCTGAGTTTTTGCAAGTATGCAACTGCCATCATGTATATAGAGATAAATAGATGGTCAGGTTGTGACAACAAACTAGAATAGTGATGGAAACTCAACTGAGGCGATGATTCTAAGCAGTGGACATACTAACTGATATTCTGAATGTTTCAGAACAAATATGTACAGGCTCATGATGAACAGGATCTAGTTTGAATAAAACAGAAGATCATGTAGATCCATAAACGATTGCTCAACCTACAGCAGGTGAGTGCCATATAAAATGCAAGGCAAGGATTCAAGCTTTGTACCCCAAAAGGAGATCGCCAAGACTTGCCGAGAAGTTTAAAAGTTGTGAAACTCTTCTACCTCAGGTACAGGACACATGGAAGAAAGGTTAGTTTGTAACTAACATCACTCCTAAATATTTCACTTCAAATACAACTGAAATTAATGACTCTTCAAGGTAAAGTTAGTCTAAGAATGGAAATTTTGCTTTCTGCAAATAGTCGTTCTGTTTTGAAAATATGAATCCATGTTCTTTTGACCACACCTAAAAGCAATCTACAACTGTCTCTCTGCATACCTCATATCTGCTCCTTGACAATCGATCTCCATGTCATCAACATGAAATGGTGCAAGCTCCTTTAGAACAGAATAAAGTAACACTTAAAACACACTCTCTTCTTGTTTAAAGTTGTCAGATAAAACAAAGCCAATCCTTACCTGAAAAGTTTTAATTGTCATAAAATATGGATGAAAACTGATATGCCGTGCAAGTTATCGGCATGAAAAATGCTGTATCTTATCATAAGCTTTTTCAGTGTCAAAGAAAACAGACTAGGTGGTTTCTTTTGACAAAAAGCTCTGCGAATGGAAGTTTCTAAAAGAAGTATATTATCAATGGTCAGTCTACATTTACCGAAATAACTCCGATATGGGAAGATTATGTTCCCCCACACCAAGTAATAGATTAATCGAGGATTTACTATTTTTTCAAACAAATTGCAAACACGACTAGTAAGTGCAACAATGGGCCAATAGTCAGTGGGATTATTTGGGTCTTTCCCTAGCTTTGCTGTGAGAATGACAACAGCTTTCTTCCAATGACGGGGAAACGTGTGCTCCTTCCACATTCTCTTATAAAGAGAGAGAAGAGCAGCCAACAACTTAGAGATGCTTCACCATTCCATAACAGACAACATCTTGACCTGGACTAGGCCTATGTGTATCTGCAACAGAGCTACCCTACTAACTAAAGGGTAAATTTAATGAGTAACATGAAAAAATACAGCATTTATCTTTCAAAATTTTTAGTTTAAAATATCCATGTCTGAGAATTAGCTAGAAAGAATGAACAAACAACAGTTTATTGCAAGTTATATAAATGTGAACCGAGACCACATAAAATTTATTTATTAAAGCACAGTATTTCTTTATAGCACAAACAAAATTTATGTTTGAAAATGGATAGTTGTCTTAGAGTTTGTTCACTGTGTTTGTTCTGTATTACTTATTTCAAATGCTACTTGATTAAGATGAAAAAATTTTAAAATAATTGAGGCAAACAGTTTGAACAAAACAGTCAAACTTCTAGAAGCTAAGCCATGAATGCTTGTTCAAAATTGAAATAACTATCTGATTGTAAAGAGCAAGATAAATAAATTTAATAGTGAAAGAAGGTTCAACAATCAGAATCTGATAAAATAAAATAAGCTGAATCAGAACAAAATATTAACTGAAAAGCATTAATAATTTAAGGACAATGAACAACAAACAAACAAACAAAAAAAAAAAAAAACTGCCAATTGAAAAGAATTAGGACAACAATGTTAGCAATCCAAACATGAGAAATTATCTGACAGTGGATGTAATAAATTAACCACAAAATAACAATTTAAATTAACTAATGTAAGCAATGTAACATCCAAGAATCAAATTACAATTCGTAACCTACAGAACCTTTGAAGACCAAATTTCTGATGAAGTCAGAGGTCATGTGAGCTTATGAATCTATGATGTAAGATAATGATATGATCTCTGAAGTCAAATACTACTTTTCAACATTCTCTTACTACTTCAGCTCAAAAGTTTCTTGCAACACTGCTCTGAGACCCTTATACCCAAGCTTTTTTTACTCCAAAAAGTGTGACTGATTGAGATGGAGTAGCAGTTTCAGTAAAAAGGTTTACAGACTGCAGACATTTAATTGTTTTAGGTTCACTTATATATTTGTGTATGAGGAAATGTGACAGTTTTTTATAGATTGCCTGATAAAATGTTAATAAAGAGAAATAAGTTTTTTTTGGCCTCTGCTTGTATTTTACATTTTTTTAAAAATCTTTTTTGATGAACAAAGATTTAATTCTAAGTTGTTGAAATTAAATTTTTCCATTTTAGATAAAAAGGAAGTTTCAGATCTGGTGCCCCTCACACCATGGCATCCAACAAGGGCACACAGATTTCTGTGCCAGGGCTAAGGAGGTTCTGCGCAATTTGAAGTCTATGTGCAGTCAGCTTTGTCAAAAGCAGGAATTCTCAAAAGCTTATTCTCAAGCCAGTAACCAGCTGATTCACACTAACTGGGGCAGCTGCCCCCCATTTCAGTCTAAAACAAAGGCCGAAGCAGTGTGTTGGGGACAGTACTCTGTTCCTCAACTACCGAGACTCTCCCTTCCAGCCTTACAGGTTTCCATGTATTGACAAATGTGTAGGTGGTTTTCTCTCCATAAGAAACTAAAACAAATGGATGTAAAAGCATCTTATTTGAGCCCCAGCCTCTAAAAGGAAAACCACAAAGGATGATAAACAGATAGAAAAAAGAGAGAGAAAAGGAAAAGAGGAAAGTATTGAGTCTCTGATTTTGGGACTACTGCCTCACAAAGATGATCTCCTGAAAATATAGGGTGCCCCGGGATTGCTACATTCATACTCATAGAGAATGAGCCCTTGTGGACAAATTGACATTAGAAACATTATTCAATTCTTCAGCATATGCTTGGAAATATTCAACAGATTTACTTTTTACACTTGTTTTTCATCTCTAAATGCCATTTTTCTTTTGAGGGTTTCATGCACATTTGGAAGTACTATATAATATACAGACATTAATTCACTCTCATTGCCTCACCCAGTAAATTCAAATACCAAATAACTCTTTGGCTATGGGCATCATTACATATTTCTTTTAATGGTATTAGAACTACTGATATTAATATCATAATCACTCACAGATTTTGCAGTATTCAATGGTAGTGCAGAACTATACTCTCCCTAAATGAAGAGTATGATTGTGTTTCTATCTTTTTGAAAATCTGGTTCAAAAACAGATTTCTATTATGTACAATGGGTACTACATAATAAAGACAATTACTAATATCTATCATAAGGATTTCAACTAATGAATCAATAATGCATACAGGGTGTTTTGAAACACATGGGCAAAAATTTAAGGGGTGATAAGATGCATATTAGATATGCATTCATGAGTAAAGGCACATTCATCCATGAATAACACATGTGCACTGAAATCAGGCTGCACTGCTAGCTGTTGCAAAAACCAACTTGCAAACTTGGCACATAATCTGCAGGTGTCAAGGCTTGCACTTTCTGTGCATGGTAGGGGTGTATCCTTCATCCTGTAACACTCACCAACTTGAGAGGGAGACCATTTATGGCACGAGAAACCTCTCATGCACTCATATTCAGACGATCTTTCACTTTGCAGAATGTCTTCTACATCTTGTGGTATTTGCACACTCCTGCCATGCATTGTATCATGCATGTCAGTGACAAAGGATCCTGTTTCACACAGGCACCGATGCAATCACCACATGTCTTCTCGGGAAACGCTGCCTGTTCAGTCTTTCGTAATCTAAAGCCTTCCCATTCGCGAGATCATACATAAAATGCATGTCTGCTTTTTCATGATTATTGCATGTCGACATGCTTTCTGAAATCCATGATAGAAATGATGAGGTGTAAGAAAATTCATGCTTTATGCTTTCCATTACAGCGCTGTCTAGTGGTTCACTGCTTGCTCTCTGCCCACGCATTTATACAGTGAAATTGCTTGTTTCAGATGCTTTCTATGGCCCCTTAAATTTTAGCCAATGAGTTTTGAAATACATTGTATGGCTAACTCTTTACAAGTTACTTCTGATTGGCTACCCCCCCCAAAAAAAAATTCTAATTTGAATATCTGTATTTCATCTGCTTGATTTTGAAACAGGCACAGCCTGAAATTGCTTCTAAATTATCTGGGAAAATACAAATGAAAAATTAATGCAGAAATGTCAAATTTTTCAAAAAGTAAAAGTGCACTTTATTGTTGTATGTGACCTTACAATGTGTCTAAACAATTCAATGTGTATCAAGATAATTATAAACAAATGAAAAGATAGTTTGGTACTTTGTGATGAGTGGAAATGGCCTCTGGCTTGATTTCAGTTGCAACCCAGATGTGCCACAAAAGGGTGACAAGTACAACAGTTATAGTTCCTTAAATTCCTGTTTTGTCGCTAAGACCAGTGTAAGAAGACTATACATACGGTAGCCGGTAACAAACTTCATAAAATGTCATCTGGGAAGACAGAGTAATAGTCGATTGTTATGTGTAGTTTTCAAACTCTGAGAATTTCAACTCTGAGAATTGCGTGGTATACACAGTTAATTAAATTCTATTTTTTATCTTTTTTGGAAATCTAGAAGAACGACAAGGCAAGATTCAAGGGGCACCTTTGTCGATGGACTACAGATTGAGAACACTGCCTTAGATTTTCAAATTTAATGATTGCATTTATAACAAATTCAAATATTTTACATAAAATAATCTAAGAATAATCAAATGGGATTTACAAAATTTAGTCAAATATATATTTTTGCAAACTAACAAACTAACTATATGTTTTCATTAAAAAGATACTTCAATCATACATTGTCAGCAAGCACTGCTCTTCTAATAAGGCTGTGTATAAATATCACAAAGAAGAAACCATTCAAGAAGTATATCTTCTCCAAACCAGCTAGAATAATCTTCCATACAGTATTTATCTCTGTAATAAACGATATAACCAAAACAGGGGGGAAAATCTTACATCTATGGATAATTAAAATGGAAAAAATGATTAAACCAATTAAATTATGATCTTTAAAAGTTTAAGAAATTAATTTAACAGTTACTATGCATGAATTTGATGTTAAAGTTCTCTCGCTTTCAAGATCCAGAAAACTCAGCTTAAATGCACAACACTATAATCTGCATTCTTGGGAAGAAAGTGAAAGAAGTTAACATAAAGATCAAAATCATCATATCTGGCTAGTTTAAAATAAGAACCTTACAAGTTTAACATGTTTTGAATTCTGAAGAACATATTAATGATATTACTAGAACCATTAATAAAAATACTGAAAGCAAGGAGCTTTTTTATTTTTTATCTCAAATATTATTAAATTTATTTCTTTTATTTTAGAGAAGAAATTAAATATTAAAATTTATTGTTTGGCTTAAATAAATAAGATATTAAATTTTTTTTTCAAATTATATATATATATCCCCTTGGAAGTATTCTCAATAACAAATGCATCATTATTAGCTATAGCATAAAATTCTCATTAACAAAAGTCTGATGCAACAATTTATGATGAAAGCATACTCAGTACATAAATAGGTACCTATTATCAAATGATACTAATACCTACTATACTCTGAATGTTGCCTATATTACAATTGCATATTATTCTCTTACACTGATTAAATAAAATGCATGTTTTTTTTATAAATTAAAATTATTATTATTATTATATATTATTTTAACAGCACACTTATTTGAATTGTTTTTGCCCAATAATTAGTTTTTTGGAGAGAAGGGGTGAATACGGATATGAATACATTACTGGGACATTCAGATTTTGCTAATTTTTTGTAGAATTAATTTGTTTACCAAAATTTAACAAACAAAACAAAAAAAAAAAAAAAAATTAACTTATATCATCAATGGAACCATTTCTACTATTACCTTTCAGAGCCACAATGTTTTAAACATAATGAACCAAAATTTCTAAACTGTGATACAGCTGAAGCATTTTAAGAGACTCTGTCACTTTTCTTTTTCTTTTAGAATCTTGTACAATATCTTAAGGTGTCCGATTATAGGCTTTAATGTTGATTTATCTGTTAAATAAACAATAATATACAATATAAATTTAAAAATTTCACATAATAAAAGTAGATGGAATGAACCACTCTGCACACAAGGTGCAGAGCAATAGATAGTTATATTGATTCAACCTAAAAGTGAATAATAACTTGTTTAAATATTCACATTAAAAAAAAATGTTGTATACATTTTATTATTGTAATAAATGTAGATTTTTTTCAAGTCATAAAATAACATACAGTAATGAAACAAAACAGAGAAAAATTACCTTTACACTAATTCATTGAATACATTAATTCATTTTTCATAAAACATTTGAAAAAATAATTATAGACATTTTGAAGCAACATAATATCAGCATTATTAGGCTGCTATCACACGTCGGTTTGTTTCGGAAGAACAACTGTTTGGAACAATTTTCTGCTTTGTCACGACAGCCAGTCACCATAGATCGCTTTGGGGTTAACTAAACTGGTTCCCCATTACAAACGAGCTGATAGCATTCAAAGCTGATAGCTGATTGGTTGCAAACGAACTTGCAATTTTTTTGGAAAGGAAGGAAAAAGGTCGCATGTCTTTCTTTCAATAGTAAACCAGGTAGAAAAATTGTCCGAAACAGTTGTTCATGTGAAATAAACGCCGTGTGATATGGGCCTTACTCACATCACAGATTAAATCAGGGGTTGGCAATCTTTTGGTCCTCGGGAGCACAAAATAAAATTAAAAATTTTTAGTGGGTGCCATCCATTCCAGTTTCATAGTCAAACACTAAATATCATATTGCAAACTAGATTTGTTTAAAAAATATATAACTTTATTAAACTAAACAAATATTTATAATTTATACCCTTTAAAATTTTTGATTATATGTCAGTGTAAAATTTGTGTTCACAATTTGTCTGCTAATTTATTATAGTAAACAATATAATTTGAGTTGCCTGCACTTAAACAATTATCTAGGTGCTAAATAGTAAGTTTTGAACAATATTTTGACTTAAAATATAAGTTGTATTTGAATAACTTGTTTAAAATATTGTTTAAAAATTATTTAAGTAGTTTAAACTTGTTTAAAAATTATTTAAGTCATATATACAATTATCTAAGTGCTAAACAGTAAGTTTTGAACAATATTTTGACTTGAAATATAAGTCGTATTTGAAAACAATGTCTCACAAACATAGGTACTTGAGCAATAAGAATTCATCTTTACCACACATGACTTTAAAATAGGGTACTGATTTCCGTTTACCAAGCTGCAAAATATTTGTATCTTAAGGTTTTAAAATAACATCATTTTTCAAGTTTACTATTTCTAAGTTTGCCATAATATTAGGATGAAAATAGTTAAAAATTGCTGTAGCTGTGTTTTCTCCATCAGTAATATTAAAGGATTTATAAAGAATTTTAAAATAGGCTCTAAATTTCCAAATTCAACAAATCTAGAATCAAATTCAGTTTGGAATGCAGAAACAATTTGAAGATATTGGTCTGTATAAATATTACGCTCTTTCAGACTTTCAGCCATTTTTTTTTTTTTTTTTTTTTTTTTTTTTTTGTATTGGGGAAATGCATTAATGATTTTCTTAAGAGATGAGACCTATACAATTCTAATACTGACTTTAAGCTATCGATAGCGCTGATCAATCGCATGTGACTTCTGTCACATACTTTAAATTTGCTCATTAAGTTTCAATGAATTGGTAAAAAGCCAAATTTTTAACTAGTTTTGGTCTTCCAGCTGTTGGAGTTTTTCCTCAGGGATATTAGAAAATCTTTCATAACAAATTGATAAATCACTCAAGCATGTGTCCCTTGCTCAGCCATTGAAACTCAGATGCAAAGAAATCAGTAAAATTGTACCTTCATCATTTTTCCAAAGCAGTTTTTAATAGTCTATTTGCATTCCACTTGTCTTCAATTATTGAATTGATTATTTTTGTAACAAAGATATTACATCTTGGAATTGAATGATTTTGCGCACAATGACTGTGGGTATACTGCAGCAAATACATAAATTTTGGAAAAAAAAAAAAAAAAAAAAGGATTGTTGGCATTAAGCAATAATCCAATATCTTCCTGCTCTGGTGTGGCACTGTCATTGTTATCGAATAATTTCTTGTTGGTATTTAGCATCAATCGAAAACACTTTTATTGCACAAAATAAATCTTCCTCATGTGCACTCTTTAACCACTTGCGCTAAAAAGATATGCCATGCACATCGATGCTTTTGTCTCAAACCGCGAGCGATGTGAACACCACGTCGATAGGCATTTATCGCAAAAATGAAAATAACATGGTGCACACGTCGCCTAACAATGAGATTGTTTATTTCTCGAGTTACAGCTCTGAATTGCTGTTTATTTCTCAAATTACAGCTCTGGATTGCACTCGCAGACGCAGAGCGGCATAAATGAGACACTTTGGCGCTTGTTATATTGTAGCGCACGGCACCGCAACTGTGAAGTTTAGTCGTAGCGCAAGTTGTTAAGCAAAAGGATTTTTAAAAACTCTTCTTTTATGGTAAAATCATCAAAAGCCTTCTTGATACTTATTGCCAGTTGTGTATATATCTGTTAAATCTTTGACTCATCCAGTTACAAGGAAAAAAATGCACATTTGTTCATATCTTTATAGTTTTCTATGTGGCACTGGATTTTTTTTTTTGTTCAATTCTCCTTCTAATAGTTTCTAGCTGACAAATGCATGGATTATGCTGAAACAATTTTTTAGTTTAAAACCTGCAAAAAGTACACCTGAGATTGCAACATAGCTTTTTTTTTATACTGCTCCATCCGTACATGTTTTTTTCTTTAGGAAGTATATATGAAAATAATCGTTGCAGTTGTTTCTGCCTTTGGTGTTTTGGTAGAAACAATTGTTGCTTTCAAATCGAGACTTTAATGATAAAATTTTATCTTCAATTCAGGATACTCCGAGTCAAACTTCAGATGCACTGTTTTAAAATGTCTCTCAAGGTACTTTTCTTAGCATTGCTACCCTTTCTGCATAATAAGCTATAAATTTGCCTTATGATTAAACAAAAACTGGTGCTTCCATTTTTCATTATTAAATTACGTGCTAGCTTATCTTGTTAATTGTGAGTTGTTACAATACTCAGTTTTGTAAGCATTCTCTCTAAGAAAACATCCTGATGTAGGAATATGTAAATGAATCTAACAAGAAAGTATGTAAATGAATCTAACAAGAAAGAACGATAGAGTACAAATCCGCACTAATACTTGTAATTAGTGATTTCCCTGCCTGTCTAAAAGTCGGAAATTCATAGTTGTTCAAAAATCAAATGTCAAAGAGAGACAAAGTAAACAAGTGTCTTGTTTTGCACCCATTTAGTCTTTCTGTCATACCTATTGGCAATTTGTCAGAGAGGTTCGGTTAAATGCATCACCATGCCATGCTGCGGGTCAGTCCAACTTTAGTCAGCTCTGCTTGACAATGAAAATGTTTCGAGCAGTGGATCAATAAAGTGGCTGTTTGATGCATTGATAAAAAATATGTAATTTTAATATGTATTACATAACATAAATAAAAAATTGCAAAACGGCACATAAAGTAGAATAATTTGCATGGGCATTGATGGGGCGGCGGCAACGTGGACCTGCAAGTGCCATGTTGCTGACAACTGTGTAAGACCATGATTGATAATGGTACAACACATGTCTTGGTGGAAAGCATTTAAAATTAAAATTTTTTGAAAGACATTAAACTGTAAAGAGTGGAAATTGAGAGAAATTTTCAAAGTAGAATAAAACTGAGCAAACTTGAAGTCTTTCAGTTAGCTGATCTCATCCTTATAATTAGAATTTACATAGTTTTGTCTGCAGATTTAATAATTTGCATATATGTGAAGATTACAGAGTTGAATAATACCACATTACGTAATATATTTTTGTATTGAGATAATTAATCTTGGAAATAAGAATAAACTAGGAGTAAAGCATGAAAAGCAAAATGAATATGAGAATCTAAGAGTTTCAACAGATAATCACTAACATCTGTTAATAAATAGGAATGAATTAACATAAATAGATTATTGAAATAACAAACTTTATTAAAAAAGAACAGAAAAAATTGTTTTCAGATCATATTATACCTTTTAAGCAAATTATGAGTCTAATAATTAAATTTCCTTGAGAGACTAGTACATTTCTAATCAGCAGAATACTTATGTTAAAAAAAGATTCCAGATCTAATAAATTCTTCAAGATGTTAATAATCAGATCCTTAAGAACTTTCTACTTTAATAGAATAGTGAAAGGATTTAATCTACATTTGAAACCTTTATAAGATTTAAATATTAATTAGAAGATGTGGTTGTATAAACATCAGTGATAATTTAGTAGGAAAGTCAAATCTAACGAAGCAGGAATATCTTTGGAATCTTTGCAAAAAGCAAAGCGATATTTCAAAAAACTATTAGATCTCTGTCTTGGTACATGTTTTTCCTCCTAACTTGTAATTTATACATTTCAGTAGCCAAGTTTTTATTACAAACATTGTAATATATATGTATTACCACATTATCTAATTTTTTCAGAGTTATTTTGGTATAGCTTATGTCCAAGCACAAAAAAAAAAAAAAAAAAAAAAAAAAAGAGAGCAGATCTCGCCCAATCAACAACACACCTTCTTTCTCGTACCATCGCGAGATCTCTCTCTTTTTTTTTTTTTTTTGTTTTAGTGCTTGGACATAACTATACCAAAATAACTCTGAAAAAATTAGATAATGTGGTAAGTGTACATATATATTACAATGTTATGTAATAAAATACTTGGCTACTGAAATTGTATAAATTAACAAGTTAGGAGGAAAAAACATGTACCAAGACAGAGATCTAACTAGTTTTTGAAATATCGCTTTGCTTTTTTGCAAAGATTCCAAATGATAATTCCTGCCTTCGTAGATTTTGACTTTTCCTACTAAATTATCACTGATGTTTAATACAACCACATCTTCTACTTAATTATTTAAATCTTATAAAGGTTTCAAATGTATAGATTAAATCACTTTCACTATTTCTTCATTAAAGTAAGAAAGTTCTTAAGGATCCTGATTATTAACATCTTGAAGAATTTTATTCAGATCTGGAATCTTTTTTTAACATAAGTATTCTGCATGATGTAGAGAAATGTACTAGTCTCTCAAGGAAATTTTTAATTATTAGACTCATTAATTTGCTTAAAATGTCATAATAATGCATCATGAAAACAATTTTTTCTGTATCTTTTTTTAATAAAAGTTTTGTTTATTTCAATAATCTATTTATGTTAATTCAATTGCCTATTTATTAACAGTATTGTTAGTGATTATCTGTTGAAACTCTTAGATTACTCAGTATTTCATTTTGCTTTTCATGCTTTACTCCTAGTTTTATTATTCTTATTTCCAAGATTAATTTATCTCAATATACAAAAATATATTACTGTAATGTGGTATTATTCAACTCTGTAAGTCTTCACATCATATGCAAATTTATTAAATCTGCAGACAAACTATGTAAAATTCTTAATTTAGATAAGGAATGAGATCAGCTAACTGAAAGACTTCAAGTTTGCTCAGTTTTATTTCTAATTTGAAAATTTCTCTCAATTTCCACTCTTTACAGTTATTAATGTCTTTCAAAAAATTTTTAATTTTTAAAATTGCTTTCCAGCACAATGCCATGTGTTTGTAACCATTATCAATCATGGTCTTACACAGTTGTCAGCAACATGGCACTTGCAGGTTCCACGTTGCCCGCCGCCCCATCCCAATGTGCCCATGCTAAATTATTCTACTTTATGTGCCGTTTTGCAATTTTTTATTTATGGTTATGTAATACATATTAAAATTACATATTTTTACATCAATGCATCAAACAGCCACTTTATTGCATCGCCACTGCTCGAAACATTTCATTGTCAAGCAGAGCTGACTAAAGTTGGACTGACCCGACAGCATGGCATGGTTGATGCATTTAACCATAACCTCTCTGACACAATTGCCAATATGTATGAGCAGAAAGACTAAATGGGTGCAAAACAAGACACTTGTTTACTTTGTCTCTCTTTGACAATTTTGATTTATTTGTAAACATACTATGAATTTCCGACTTTTTAGACAGGCAGGGAAATCACTAATTACAAGGTATGTAGTGCGGATGTACTCTATCGTTGCTTTCTTGTTAGATTCATTTACATACTTTCTTGTTAGATTCATTTACATACTTCCTAATCATCCAGGATGTTTTCTTAGAGAGAATTGCTTACAAACTGAGTATTGTAACAACTCACAATTAACAAAGATAAGCTAGCACGTAATTATAATTTTAATGAAAAATGGAAGCACCAGTTTTGTTTTATAATCATAAAGGCAAATTTATATGCTTATTATGCAAGAAAGGTGTAGCAATGCTAAAGAAAAGTTACCTTGAGAGACATTTTAAAACAGTGCATCTGAAGTTTGACTCGGAGTATCCTGAATTTTGAAGATAAAATTTTATCATTAAAGTCTTCGATTTGAAAGCAACAATCTGTTTCTACCAAAAACACCAAAGGCAGAAACAACTGCAACGATTAATGTTTCATATATACTTCCTAAAGGAAAAAAACATGTACGGATGGAGCAGTATAAAAAAAAAGCTATGTTGCAATCTGCAGGTGTACTTTTTGCAGGTTTTAAAACTAAAAAAATTGTTTCAGCCATAAATGCCATGCATTTGTCAGCTAGAACTATTAGAAGGAGAATTGAAACAAAAAAAAAAAATCCAGTGCCACATAGAAAACTGATAAAGATATGAACAAATGTGCATTTTTTTCCTTGTAACTGGATGAGTCAAAAGATTTAACAGATATAACACAACTGGCAATAAGTATCAAGAAGGCTTTTGATGATTTTACCATAAAAGAAGAGTTTTTAAAAATCCTTTTGCTTAACCACTTGCGCTACGACTAAACTTCACAGTTGCGGTGCCGTGCGCTACAATATAACAAGCGCCAAAGTGTCTCATTTATGCCGCTCTGCGTCTGCGATTGCAATCCGAGCTGTACTTAGAATAAACAGCAATTCATAGCTGTAACTCGAGAAATAACAATCTCATTGTAGGCGACGTGTGCACCATGTTATTTTCATTTTTGCGATAAATGCCTATCGACGTGGTGTTCACATCGCTCGCGGTTTGAGACAAAAGCATCGATGTGCATGGCATATCTTTTTAGCGCAAGTGGTTAAAGAGTGCACATGAGGAAAGGATTTATTTTGTGCAATAAAAGTGTTTTCGATTGATGCTAAAATACCAACTAAGAAATTTTATTCGATAACAACTGACAGTGCACAAACCAGAGCAGGAAGAATATTGGATTTATTGCTTTAATGCCAACAAGATCCTTTTTTTTTTTTTTTTTTTTTCCAAAATTTATTGTATATTGCTGCAGTATACACCAGCAGTCATTGTGTGCAAAAATCATTCAATTCCAAGATGTAATATCTTTTGTTACAAAAATAATCAATTCAATAATGAAGACAAGTGGAATGCAAATAGACTATTTAAACTGCTTTTGGAAAATGATGAAGGTACACAATTTACTGATCTTCTTTTGCATACTGAGTTTCAATGGCTGAGCAAGGGACACATGCTTGAGTGATTTATCAATTTGTTATGAAAAATATTTGTTATGAAAGATTTTCTAATATCCCTGAGGAAAAACTCCAAACAGCTGGAAGACCAAAACTAGTTAAAAAATTTGGCTTTTTTGACCAATTTAGCATTGAAACTTAATGAGCTAAATTTAAAATTATGTGACAGGAATAGTCACATTGCTGATATGATCAGCGCTATCGATAGCTTAAAGTCAGTATTAGAATTGTATAGGTCTCATCTCTTAAGAAAATCATTAATGCATTTCCCCACATCCCAAAAAAAAAACAAAAAAAAAAAAAAGGGCTGAAAGCTGAAGAGCGTAATATTTATACGACCAATATCTTCAATTGTTTCTGCATTCCAAACGGAATTTGATTCTAGATTTTGTTGAATTTGGAAATTAGAGCCTATTTTTAAACATTCTTTAAAAATAAATCCTTTAATATTACTGAGGACGAAAACACAGCTACCGCACTTTTTAACTATTTTCATCCTAAGATTAGGGCAAACTTAGAAACTAGTAGACTTGAAAAATATGTTATTTTAAAACCTTAAGATCAAATATGTGGGGCAGCTTGCTAAACGAATCAGTACCCACGATTTTAAATTCATGTGTGTTAAATGAATTCTTATTGCTCAGTACCTATGATTGGGAGACGTGTTTTCAATACGATGATATTCAATAAATATTGTCAAAACTACTTCTAGCACTTAGATAATTGAATATGCTAAATAATTTTAAAAGTTTAAACTCCTTAATATTTTTAACTATTTAAACAAGTTATTCAATACAAATTAATTTTAAGTCAACATATTGTTTCAAATTACTTTAGCCTAGATAATTGTTAAGTGCGGCACTCAAATATATTGTTTATAAATCATTCGAGACCATTGTACACAATTTTCCTGACAGAATCAAATTTTAAGGGTATAAATATAAATATTTGTTTAGTTTATAAATTATAATTTTTTAAAAATCTAGTTGCAAATGAATTTAGGTTTGATTGAAACTGGAATGGATGCGCCACTAAAATTTTAATTTTATTTGTGCTCCCGAGAACAAAGATGCCACCCGCTTTATTGAGTAGTAGCCCATATCCACGGTTTATTCACTGAACATTCTGTTCGGACTTTTTACCATTGAAAGAAGCCATGCGACTTTTCCTTCCTTTCCAAAAAAATTGCCGTTCGTTGAACCAACGCTACAGTTTGATCTATCACTCGTTGTATGGGAACAGTTTAGTACCCAAAGCGATCTATGGTGACTGGCTGTCGTGACAAAGCAGAAAATTGTTCCAAACAGTTGTTCTTCCGAAACAAACCGACGTGTGATAGCAGCCTAATAATGCTGATATTATGTTGCTTCAAAATGTCTATAATTATTTTTTCAAATGTTTTATGAAAAATGAATTAATGTATTCAATGAATTAGTGTAAAGGTAATTTTTCTCTCTGTTTTATGTTTCATTACTGTATTTATTTTATGACTTGAAAAATATACATTTTATTTTACAATAATAAAATGTATACAACATTTTTTTTTAATGTGAATATTTTAAACAAGTTATTATTCACTTTTTAGGTTGAATCAATATAACTATCTATTGCTCTGCACCTTTGTGTGCAGAGTGGTTCATTCCATCTACTTTTATTATGTGAAATTTTTAAATTTATATTGTATATTATTGTTTATTTAACAGATAAATCATACATTAAAGCCTATAATCGGACACCTTAAGATTATTGTACAAGATTCTAAAAGAAAAAGAAAAGTGACAGAGTCTCTTAAAATGCTTCAGCTGTATCACAGTTTCAGAAATTTGGTTCATTATGTTTTAACACATTGTGGCTCTGAAAGGTAATAGTAGAAATGGTTCCATTGATGATATAAGTTAATTTTTTTTTTTTTTTTTTTTTTTTTTTTTTTTTTGTTTGTTTGTAATTTTGGTAAACAATTAATTCTCAAAAATTATAAATTGAAGTCCCGTAATGTATTCATATCCGATTCACCCTCTTCTCAAAAAACTAATTATTGGGCAAAAACACTCAAATAATGTGCGTTAAATAAAATCATAATAATATATTTTTAATTTATAAAAACATGCATTTCTTTATTCGTGTAGAGAATAATATGCAATGTAATATAGGAACATTCGAGTATAGTAGTCTTAGATCATTTGATAATGGTACCTATTAGTACTGAGTATGCTTCATCATAATTGTGCATAGACTTTTGTAATGAGAATTTATGCTATACTATAATGATCATTGTTATTGAGAATACTTCCAAGGGGGATATATAGAACTTGAAAAAAATTTTATCTATCTATTTAAGCCAAACATAAAGATGATATTAATTTCTTCCTAAAAGAAATAAATTTAATAATATTTGAGATAAAAAATAAAAAAGCTCCTTTGCTTTCAGTATTTTTATTTAATGGTTCTAGTAATATCATTAATATGTTCTTCAGAATTCAAAACATTGTTAAACTTGTAAGGTTCTTATTTTAAACTAGCCAGATATGATGATTTTGATCTTTATTTAAACTTCTTTCCACTTTCTTCCCAAGAATGCAGATTATATTGTTGTGCATTTAAGCTGAGTTTTCTGGATCTTGAAAGCGAGAGAACTTTAACATCAAATTCATGCATAGTAACTGTTAAATTAATTTCTTAAACTTTTAAAGATCAATAATTTAATTTGTTTAATCATTTTTTCCATTTTAATTATCCATAGATGTAAGATTTTTCCCCCCTGTTTTGGTTATATCGTTTATTTACAGAGATAAATACTGTATGGAAGATTATTCTAGCTGGTTTGGAGAAGATATACTTCTTGAATGGTTTCTTCTTTGTGATATTTATACACAGCCTTATATTAGAAGAGCAGTGCTTGCTGACAATGTATGATTGAAGTATCTTTTTAATGAAAACATATAGTTAGTTTGTTAGTTTGCAAAATAATATAATTATTTGACTAAATTTTGTAAATCCCATTTGATTATTCTTAGATTATTTTATGTAAAATATTTGAATTTGTTATAAATGCAATCATTAAATTTGAAAATCTAAGGCAGTGTTTCTCAATCTGTAGTCCATCGACAAAGGTGCCCCTTGAATCTTGCCTTGTCGTTCTTCTAGATTTCCAAAAAAGATAAAAAATAGAATTTTAATTAACTGTGTATACCACGCAATTCTCAGAGTTTGAAATTCTCAGAGTTTGAAAACTACACATAACAATCGACTATTACTCTGTCTTCCCAGATTGACATTTTATGAAGTTTGTTACCGGCTACCGTATGTATAGTCTTCTTACACTGGTCTTAGCGACAAAACAGGAATTTAAGGAACTATAACTGTTGTACTTGTCACCATCCTTTTGTGCACATCTGGGTTGCAACTGAAATCAAGCCAGAGGCCATTTCCACTCATCACAAAGTACCAAACTATCTTTTCATTTGTTTATAATTATCTTGATACACATTGAATTGTTTAGACACATTGTAAGGTCACATACAACAATAAAGTGCACTTTTACTTTTTGAAAATTTGACATTTCTGCATTAATTTTTTCATTTGTATTTTCCCAGATAATTTAGAAGCAATTTCAGGCTGTGCCTGTTTCAAAATCCAAGCAGATGAAATACAGATATTCAAATTAGAATTTTTTTTTGGGGGGGTAGCCAATCAGAAGTAACTTGTAAAGAGTTAGCCATACAATGTATTTCAAAACTCATTGGCTAAAATTTAAGGGGCCATAGAAAGCATCTGAACAAGCAATTTTCACTGTATAATGCGTGGGCAGAGAGCAAGCAGTGAACCACTAGACAGCGCTGTAATGGAAAGCATAAAGCATGAATTTTCTTACACCTCATCATTTCTATCATGGATTTCAGAAAGCATGTCGACATGCAATAATCATGAAAAAGCAGACATGCATTTTATGTATGATCTCGCGAATGGGAAGGCTTTAGATTACGAAAGACTGAACAGGCAGCGTTTCCCGAGAAGACATGTGGTAAACCAAAAAATGTTTGAATGATTGCATCGGTGCCTGTGTGAAACAGGATCCTTTGTCACTGACATGCATGATACAATGCATGGCAGGAGTGTGCAAATACCACAAGATGTAGAAGACATTCTGCAAAGTGAAAGATCGTCTGAATATGAGTGCATGAGAGGTTTCTCGTGCCATAAATGTCTCCCTCTCAATGTTGGTGAGTGTTACAGGATGAAGGATTACACCCCTACCATGCACAGAAAGTGCAAGCCTTGACACCTGCAGATTATGTGCCAAGTTTGCAAGTTGGTTTTTGCAACAGCTAGCAGTGCAGCCTGATTTCAGTGCACATGTGTTATTCATGGATGAATGTGCCTTTACTCATGAATGCATATCTAATATGCATCTTTATCACCCCTTAAATTTTTGCCCATGTGTTTCAAAACACCCTGTATGCATTATTGATTCATTAGTTGAAATCCTTATGATAGATATTAGTAATTGTCTTTATTATGTAGTACCCATTGTACATAATAGAAATCTGTTTTTGAACCAGATTTTCAAAAAGATAGAAACACAATCATACTCTTCATTTAGGGAGAGTATAGTTCTGCACTACCATTGAATACTGCAAAATCTGTGAGTGATTATGATATTAATATCAGTAGTTCTAATACCATTAAAGAAATATGTAATGATGCCCATAGCCAAAGAGTTATTTGGTATTTGAATTTACTGGGTGAGGCAATGAGAGTGAATTAATGTCTGTATATTATATAGTACTTCCAAATGTGCATGAAACCCTCAAAAGAAAAATGGCATTTAGAGATGAAAAACAAGTGTAAAAAGTAAATCTGTTGAATATTTCCAAGCATATGCTGAAGAATTGAATAATGTTTCTAATGTCAATTTGTCCACAAGGGCTCATTCTCTATGAGTATGAATGTAGCAATCCCGGGGCACCCTATATTTTCAGGAGATCATCTTTGTGAGGCAGTAGTCCCAAAATCAGAGACTCAATACTTTCCTCTTTTCCTTTTCTCTCTCTCTTTTTTCTATCTGTTTATCATCCTTTGTGGTTTTCCTTTTTAGAGGCTGGGGCTCAAAATAAGATGCTTTTACATCCATTTGTTTCTAGTTTCTTATGGAGAGAAAACCACCTACACATTTGTCATACATGGAAACCTGTAAGGCTGGAAGGGAGAGTCTCGGTAGTTGAGGAACAGAGTACTGTCCCCAACACACTGCTTCGGCCTTTGTTTTAGACTGAAATGGGGGGCAGCTGCCCCAGTTAGTGTGAATCAGCTGGTTACTGGCTTGAGAATAAGCTTTTGAGAATTCCTGCTTTTGACAAAGCTGACTGCACATAGACTTCAAATTGCGCAGAACCTCCTTAGCCCTGGCACAGAAATCTGTGTGCCCTTGTTGGATGCCATGGTGTGAGGGGCACCAGATCTGAAACTTCCTTTTTATCTAAAATGGAAAATTTAATTTCAACAACTTAGAATTAAATCTTTGTTCATCAAAAAAGATTTTTAAAAAAATGTAAATACAAGCAGAGGCCAAAAAAAACTTATTTCTCTTTATTAACATTTTATCAGGCAATCTATAAAAAACTGTCACATTTCCTCATACACAAATATATAAGTGAACCTAAAACAATTAAATGTCTGCAGTCTGTAAACCTTTTTACTGAAACTGCTACTCCATCTCAATCAGTCACACTTTTTGGAGTAAAAAAAGCTTGGGTATAAGGGTCTCAGAGCAGTGTTGCAAGAAACTTTTGAGCTGAAGTAGTAAGAGAATTGTTGAAAAGTAGTATTTGACTTCAGAGATCATATCATTATCTTACATCATAGATTCATAAGCTCACATGACCTCTGACTTCATCAGAAATTTGGTCTTCAAAGGTTCTGTAGGTTACGAATTGTAATTTGATTCTTGGATGTTACATTGCTTACATTAGTTAATTTAAATTGTTATTTTGTGGTTAATTTATTTACATCCACTGTCAGATAATTTCTCATGTTTGGATTGCTAACATTGTTGTCCTAATTCTTTTCAATTGGCAGTTTTTTTTT